CTTTGGAGTCAAGGATTCTGAAGCTTTGTCTGACATACTTTGGGCATGTTGCAAGGAGGGACTGGTCCTTGGAGAGGGACATCATGCTTGGGAGAGTGAAGGGTGGCGAAGGAGAGGAAGACCTTCGATGAGATGAATCGATTCTGTGACTGGAGCTGTGGGAATAAGTGTGTTTGAGATAGATAGGTTGGCACAGGATAGAAGAGCATTTAGAGCTCTTGTACATAGGGTTGCTATGAGTTGCAAGCGACCCGATGGCACATAGCAACAACAGCATTCTTTTTTAGCCATCTCTGAGAGTTCAGGTTAAGCAAAAACGATTTATAAATGTGTTTAATTATGGTCTTGCCTGTGGCTAAAATCAGAAGTTTAAAATCAAGATCTTAAAGCTAACTTAATTTCTTGTCTGTCTCATGGAGTAGGTGGGCTCTCTGGTAGCTTAGTGGTTAAGACATTGTGCTGCCACTCTGTGGCACACTGGATCTACCAACTGCTCGGGGAGAAATTTACAATCTCTGAAAACCAACTGGAGATTCATCTGTGACTTGCTTCCAGTTTTACTGTAGGGTACACAGTCACAGAGAGGGAACGTGGGAGTTGTGAAAAAAATTAGCTTCAATATGTAGCTTGTCCATTAACTAACTAAATATTTCTTAATCACATCCTAGATGTGAGTTTACCATATCTTAACACAGAATGTTCCTAAGTTCCACAGGAACACAGTAATAAAAATACAGTTGTTAACACACACGTAAATGTACACGTATGTTGAACAGTTAAAATAATAAAACTGACAGGCTTAGACAACGGAGTATTATTGTAAAAGTCATTTTTACCAAGATACTGTACTGTCTATGTAGCATACACAATTTATTGGGCTTGGTTAAGACATTGATATTAACTTGGTAAAAAGAATTATTTAGCTCTATCGTGTAAATATTTAACCTTTGAATTTGTGTAGATTGGGATTGATGAAACGTAAGACCAACACAAAGTAATTTTCCCCTCCCCATCTCCACCAGTCTTTTTCCTTTTGTCAGAAATGCCATTTCATTGTTTAAAATTTTAAAGAATATTTTTAAGTGAGATTTTTTTGTTGTTGTCATCAGTGTTCTGGTTCTAAGCATTTTAATAATGAAATAATGTTCTGATGGACAACAAAGAAATTTCATTTGCATTTCCTAAATAAACATTTAAGCAATTTATTACTAAGTGATAAAGAATTAGTGGGGGAAGATTAGCACTTAATTCTTACATAAAATTTTGAGTGTGAAGATGCTTTTTCATTCTTAAATTTACATTTTATTTCCTTATTAGCTTAAATGCACCTTTATTTTCTGAGTTGTTTAAAAATAAATTGCCAAATTTTGAATTAGTAAACTGTTTCACAATTTTTACTATTTTTTAAAATTTTTACAATTTTTAGCATAAACTAAAAAAAATCGAATGCCACATATTTTTGCTGCATATATCTTAAGCTGAGCAAATAACTTCCTATAATTTCCACTTAAAAGTTTTAATGCTTTTTATTGAGGAGAATTTTAAAAGTTTGTAAAATTTAAAGCTATGTAATTAAAATAAGTACTAGAATTCATTAAGTAATCAGAGACTATAAAGGCAAACACGCTTGGATCTTGGTGATTTATTTTTGTTTGTTTAAAAACATATTTGACCTAAGTTAATAGACTTGGATTTCAGGTGGGTAGAATGTTATTTGAAGCATCATGGGAGTCTCTAATTTGTGTCATTTGGCATACATACTCTAATTGGGAGAATAAATTTTAATGGCTTATTCTTTCCCTTTAGGATTTTCTCACTCTGCATTTACCTTTGGCATAGAAAGCCATATCAGTCAGTCTAATATAAATGGTGCCCTTGTCCCACCTGCTGCATTGATTTCTATCATCCAGAAAGGTCTACAGTATGTAGAAGCAGAAGTTAGTATTAATGAGGTAAGGAAGACTTACTACAAAACCTAACTCTTTACTCTTTTATAGTCTTGAATATCTCGCCTGTATATTCTCCTATGTTGCAAGTCCAAGGCATGTTAGCTTCATTAAGGATCGTTATCTTACTTTTAAATGAGAATCTTAAAGCAGTCGGATTTGGGGTTGTGGAATGCTGGGACCATAACTAGACAATTAGAAAAACTTCGTTATTTGAAAAGATTATAATTAATAATGGAAGTCACCTGGAGATCCTACTGTCTGTCCTCGATCTTTAGAATGGTAGTTTATTGAGCTTAATTTTTATTTTAAATATTAATACTTCTCAAAGTACCGTGAAATTTGCAGGAACCAGAACTCTTTAAAACTGTCTTGTTTTGTTGGTTCTTGAAGTTTCCCCCTCTTCTTTGATGGGATGCCGTCTTACCACATTTCTATTACTTGTTTTAAGCAGTTGGGTGGCTTAGTATTCAGTAGTTGTGCTCCCAACTCCAAGTACATAGTCAAATCCACGAGCTGTTCCATGGTAGAAGGATGGGCAATCTCCTTAGAAATTTATTGCCTCTGAAAACCTACTGGAGGGTCAGCTGTGAGTTGATTCCAACTCTGTGGTGCACATAACCACTTCACTTGCTTTAGTGAAAAATACTTGTTTGCCTTCTTTTAACAGGATTTTGCCTAAAATAGGTTCTGGCTTTCAACAGGTTCAGAGAGACACACACACACACTCTCTCTCTCTCTCTCTCTCTCTCTGTGTGTGTGTGTGCGCGCGCGCGTGCACGCACACAAGAATAGCAAGAACATACTAAAATAAAAGGAAATTAATTTCTTATTTTTAAGTTTCTCCATCTTTATGACTGGGTTAGGTAAACCACTCTAAGTTAGCAGTACTACAGTAATATGTATTCTTAATGTCTTCAAACCCTTTTTCTAAAAGAGCTTCATAAGAAAGAGAGAAACAAATTCTTCAGTTTTCACACTCTTTAAACTAAAGAATCTTCATTTCTGATACTCCATCTAGAAGTGGCAGTACTATTTGGCACTTGCATCACACTTTTAATAGCACTCAATTGAGGTATCTGCCATTGACTAGCTGTGACCATAAAGAAGTCTTTATATCTTGTTTTTACCTATTAACATTAATAAAATGTGGTGATTGGATGACATTAAATGTGATGATGTCCATTTCTGCCTCAGTGATGGTCAGAATTACAAAATTTTGTTTAAACAACAAAACTATTTTAACCGTTTTATAGGTTTAGTCTTAAAAGAAGTACTTGTTATAGCATGGCCTCACATGTCATTATATGAACCTGACTATAATGTTCATTGCCTCTGACTCTAAATTTTGAAATCTTAACTTTTTAAAAACCTCGATATACATTTTTTTCAATCCTTTTCAGTTTTCAGCAGTGTCTAATTGTCAGGTTTTTGCACCATTTGCCGCCAACACAAACTAACTATGGAAGTTGCGCAGCCCTTTGCAATTGTCACTTGGAGTTGTCTTTCCTCTCGACTACTTTGCTTACACAAGTTGAGAAAGTTATCTTAATACAGGTTCCCACTCTTGAAAATAAAGACCACCCCCATTTCTGCTATTGATATTTATGGATAATGATAACAAGCCCAAAATTACCATTAATTTACTTTCTTTTTTCCCCATCATAATTTTCCAAATCTAGGATGGTACTTTGTTTGATGGTCGACCAATAGAGTCTCTGTCACTGATAGATGCCGTAATGCCTGATGTAGTACAAACAAGACAACAAGCTTACAGAGATAAACTCGCACAGCAACAGGCTGCAGCTGCTGCAGCTGCTGCAGCTGCAACAAATCAACAAGGATCTACAAAAAATGGAGAAAACACAGCAAATGGGGAGGAGAATGGAGCACATTCTATAGCAAGTGAGCAAAGAAATGTTAAAAATGGCTTTTCAGAGGAAATAATATGGCTTTATAGGACTGTGTCATCTCCTAAACTGTAATTTTGTCAAGTAACTTCATCTGTTTCATTTATGTCAACTAGTTCCTCCAACAAGCATTACATAGTTTAGATTTTTGCTTCTATAGCCCCTAAGATAGATTTGTTTTCCATGATTGTTTCCTGTTTGAATACATAGAGGACTGTCATGAATTTTTGCCTCTAATTTTTTATTTGTTGGAAAAAAATTTACAGTATTTGTTATTAAGAAATAAAACAAAGCTCAGGTGTTGAGCTCTAGCTGATGTTCAGGCAGTTCTGGTTCAGTTATATGAATGATACCAGCAACCCCTACAGGCAGAAACTTGGAATAGTATTGGCATGAATTATGTTTGAAATTCAGATGATGTTATTATTTTAACCATATTTGGAGCTGACCTTTTACAGTCTTTTCCTACTGCACTTCATAACCTCACCCCAAAATACAAACTCATACACATATCTGATCATATATAAAGATAGAAATATATTTCTTATATAATCATTGTCAACTGAACCAGATGTTGTCAGTGTTATACTTTATGATGTTATAAAATAGGTATTGGTTAACAGTGCCACCCTCATCTCCCGCCTCCCGCCCAGATGATAATTTTCCTCTTGTTTTTCTGTAATATAGATAATCATAACGATATGATGGAAGTGGATGGAGATGTTGAAATCCCTCCTAATAAAGCAGTGGTGTTGCGGGGCCATGAATCTGAGGTTTTCATT